GATACTTGGGAGCTAAACATTCTTGGAGACAGAATTTTTTATCTGATAGGAAACTGATGATCTGTAACGAATGTTGTATCTGGAGTTTTTCCCCAACTACTTTTTAAACTAGAAATATGTCTTTCTATTTGTCAATATACTTATCACTAACATGTAAAAAGAAGAGTGAATGTTAACATGGATTACTCAAACTGTTAGTAGTCTGCTTCTGTTTGTGAGAATGCATTTTCTTTTGCTTATCTATAGTTAGATCTAACAAAACTTCTAGGAAATAGTATTTCTGTGACTGAAACAAATACATTTCTCATTTTGCCTTCTGCATTAATTCAAAACTGAGAATCTGTCGCATTCTGATGAGGAATAATTTATGTTCAAGCTGTTGTTATTTAAAGGCATAAAAGTTCTTTTTGCATAATAGTACTCTTATTGACTAGGTAATGTTTCTAAAGCCTGAAGTGTTAATGATTCTTTGAAGATTATTTTTGCTCAAGATGTTCTCTTACTGTCTATTTAGTTGCCGGACCTTGGGATTGTAGTTGCATTTTACTAGATGCACACAGATGCAGCAACAAGCACTGTCATGCTCAAAGAATTTGAATTCTTACCCCTGAGCATGGCTCCATTGCTGCTAGAGGGAAAGACTCAAGAAAAAGTCTACGCTTAATTTATACTTTTTCTGGGCTGTGCTGAGAATGATTGTGTTTAATGATAATTACTTCCGTGAACTTCATAAGAAAATACTGGGAGATTATCAGAAATAGTTCTGTTCAGACAGCTATCCTTAATTATGCTAGTGACCTTTTTAATATCTTGGTCAATAAATGTGAATTGTGTAAGATAACATAAAAGCTTTAATTTTGATCTGAATATTTTTATTGGTTATCAAGAGAGAAGGCATAGCTTTTTCGCAAGGACTGACATGTTCCAAACCATCTGAATAAAAAGCTATATTGTTCCTTGGCCATGAAGGCAGTAGGCATATATGGCCAGGGCTGGTCACGTTCAGAAGCTCTAGTTTAATATTTATTAAACTGCCTACATGGGCTTCTGTTTAGTGTCTGGTTTAACTAATTGAAATAGATTATTCAACTTTAGGTACAGAGAAAGAAGAAAAACCTAGCAGTCACTTTGTCACTGGGGAAGGCAGTTTCTTTTAAGTGTAATACATTTAAATTTCTAACTGGCATGATGCCAATCTTCATTATGTTTCAAAGGCAAGCAGAGAAAACAAGTGGGACAGCAATATAAAGCTGTGTTGTGAAAGATACATTTTTTAACTGACAGAGACAATACCTGCCTTTGAATGTTGTATGTTCCATTTTTCTGAATCTTAGAAAAAATTTCAGAAAATGACATCATAACATTAGAGCAAAATTTTTGTTACTGACTTGATTGAAGCACTGGAGATCACTAGTACAGAGCTATGGGCTTTTAAAATTTATTTTAAACATGTCTTAAGTGACCTTTGTTATTAAATTAAATATGGTCAAGGTTTCAGCCTACACATAGGTTGCAGCTTTAATTACTGTTTCAGTGTAGTTCAGAATAAAGTATTATAGTTCTTCATGATAATATAACCTTATGGTTTTGTTACAGTCCAGTGCAGTTCCATGTTACTGGCCAACTATGTTGTCAGTAACGTAAATGGAGAACAGGTTTAGTGATATCTTTTAACACAGGCCAGTGTGAGCAATTCTGTTTACAAGACAGACATCAGAACTGTCCTATTCCTTAGTTTCTGTCTATAATTTCTCTCAAAATCTGGGTGGATTACAGCCAGTTTCACACCAGCCACTACATGTTTTCTTCCCGGGATATTTTTGCACCTTATTTAGAGTGAGATTTGAGGGTTGTCAATATTAAATCCTTTCCCAAGCCTTGCAGAAGATCTCTGCAAAAGGTCCACTGCCTTCCCCTGCACTGTGCATTTCACAGATGTTTCTCTTCAAAGGAAAAACTCTGAGGCCAGTAAGTAGTTGAAAAAAATTATTAACCTCCTTGTATTGGGCAGTATAGATCCAATAAATCTGTGTGAGAGGTTGAGACCTAGAATGATGGTTTCTCAATATTTATGAAATCTGCTGATTTTGACGATGACAGTGAGAAGATCTGAGAGACTCTCAGCATGTAAGTGGGACAGCCTGGTGGGGCACAGTGATGCCTTCCTTTGACTATCTACATGCAGAGCAATTACTGAACTGACTCACTTTGCAGCCCAGATTATTACAGTACACTGGCATGTATTTTAGGTTACCATAAAATGCTGTTTAAATAGATCACTGGTGGTTCACAAACAGCTGGCATGGACTCGAACTTCTCTAGCAGTGGTTGTTCAGGATTTGGAGCTCTTCACCTCACAAGTCACTCTGACAAGTATATAGATTTGAGCTTGGTGAGGTTTATTTTCCTTGCTTCATTTCACAGTGTAGGAGGTCACAGGTGACATACTAAAGCTGGCATCATGGTGAAAGGAGCTGTACCTAATTTGGTTATATTGTATGTACAGTTTAATTGTAAGCTGTTCCAGAGACTCTCAGTGGGTGCGTAAGGCAGTGGTAGTTGGCAACTGGTTTGTAGGTGAAGGTATCACTAAGGCTGTGGTTTGCTGCTTCTGCTTGCACTTAACTTTGAAGGAATCTCATTATATTCCCACAGTAACTTTTTGAAGCATGTGTGGATTTTAATTAAAATTTTACTTTCCCCAAATACATACTTACCCTGTTAACTGAACATCTCGTTTGAATTGAACTGGAACAGATTGCATGGTTTATTTCAGTTGACAACACTTAATCTAGATTAATTTGTACTGTTTAGCATTTCAGTGGTGGAAAATAAAGGTAACCTTGTAGGCACATCAGAGTTTGGCTACAGCATAAAAATGAAAGAACTAGCGTTTCCTAAACACATAGAAGTACTGTATTACCGAAAGGGCACTGTTCAAGCTTTGAAGTATGACATCATACATGATGCATGACTTTTGGAAAATGGACAAAAATTTTGTGGAAAGAATGGCCATTTTAAAACTTGTGTTATGCACTGTATTTCATGTAGGTATGTGCTAATGCATGTTAGCACAGATGTGCCAGTTAGGTCTTAAGAGCTAGCAATGCTCTTTGCTTTTCTTACATGTAAGCCTTGGCTGTTTGTATATCTATGTCTGCTATGTTACTTTCTCATGTTACAGCTTGAGACACTGCAATAATCAGAGAATGGTAGGGGTTGGAAGGGATCTCTGAAGATCATTCAGTCCAACCCCCCTGCCAGAGCAGGATCACTTAGACTAGGTCACACAGGAACATTTCCAGGTGGGTTTTGAATGTCTCCAGAGAAGGAGACTCCACAAGCTCTCTGGGCAGCCTGGTCCAGTGCTCTGTCACCCTCACAGTAAAAACGTGTTTCGTTATGTTTAAGTTGAACCTCCTGTGTTCCAGTTTGTGACCATTCCCTCTTGTCCTGTTGCTGAGCACAACCAAGAATCTGGTCCTGTCCTCCTCACACCCACCCTTTAGATATTTATAAGCGTTAGTGAGACTTCCCCCTCAGTCTCCTCCAAGCTAAACAGACCCAGCTCTCTCAGCCTTTCCTCATAACGGAAGATGCTCCAGTACCCTCATCATCTTCGTGGCTCTACACTGGACTCTCTCCAGTAGTTTCTTGTCCTTCTTGGACTGGGGAGCCCAGAAAAGGACACAGAATTGCAGATGTGGCCTCACCAGGCCTCTCTTACCATAGAACTGTGTAAACTTTGTGATTGGTTGTTTTACATGGTACATAAAAGCAAAAAAGATGGAATAGAGAATCACATTATCAAGCCACAACCTAAATTGATGCTCAGTCTAAATTCCTTTGTCCTGCTAGTTCTTGGTTTGAAATTAAATTTTAAGGAATTAAAGGATTTAAGATTTGGACAAGTACAGTTTGGCTATCGCAAAATAGTTGAGGTTATAAGGAACTTCTGGAGGAACCTCTTCTCTATCCCCCCTGCTTAAATGCAGATCATGTTGCCCAGGACCATGTCTGGATGGCTTAAAGAACATAAATAATATATGGGTGTAAGAATATAAACAATTCTCATGCTCTTAAGTATTTTTAAAACTGCTTTTGTAATTAAAAAAAATATGTATCTTAGGAAGATACATCCAAGGTTGAAATTTTGCAGGTAATTTAGAACAGGTTTTCATTTAAATAAGTAACACTTTCTAAAGCTATAAATATGCATGATGATGTATGGTGTTACAGCATACCTTAGAAGTCTAGATAAATGTCTTATGGAATATACTTTTCTTAGGATAATTATGCTACTTATTTATTGTTAACATCTGCTTGTCCTGAGTTCTTAGTAGTGTCTGTATGAGTCTATTCAGATTATACATTATTATCTCATACACACACACAAATGTGTGTGTAATTAGTGTAATTTGTGAATTCACATGTGGATGTATATATAGAAAATAAAAAATGACAGATCTTATCCTTAGTAGTTTGCTATAACTTAGTGAACACCTTATCAAAGGGAAGAAGTCAGGGGCTCTTACTTGATATAAAGGATTTGTACTTGGGTACGTACATGTAACAAAGTGCTTTTGAAGGCTGCATAGATATAGAAGATACAGAAGACGTGTGGCCCGAAGAGAATTTGTGTGCATGCATATATGTATTTTTCAACTTTTTTTGTTGTTTTTTTTCACTCAGTAGTTTTTGTTGTTCTTCCTTCTCAAAGCAAGCATAAGCTGTCAATAAGTCTTCAGATTCAGTGAGAGAAGCATGACATAGAAAATACCTCAAACACATGCTAAAGAAAGGAGGAATATGAAATTAAGGTCTGCTTATGCTAGTATTTTGTGATACTGCTGATAATACCAGATTTACTTTGCAATTTATGTTAACATGTTTAATATTTTTGAGGAAACAAACAAACATTCCTTTTTTTACATACTTTTTGCGTGAAACATCATTAGTGTTGTTGAGACACCTGTTAAATTAAACTTGTTTTTATTTAGGTTCATGACTTAGATGGCATCTTCTTGATCCTGGACAACTGCAGAATTGATGACAACAATCCTTGTATCCTTTACAAAAGACTTATAATTATTGAATATGACTCATAAGAAAAGGTGTGGGTGTTTAATATATTTATACCAGCATTGCTTTCACTTGGTACCTAAGTCTAAATGGCCTCATGAATTTCTAGGTTGTGTTTAAACACTTGGTTCATAAGTGAGCAAACTCATATATAGGCTTTCATGAACTGGATTCTAAGTAAATTGAACTGTGGTTGTATTCTGTTTCCTAAAATAATAAATATTACTGGTATACAAATGTCAATTCCGAGAGCTAATTGTGATAGAAATCTCATTGCAGCAGATCTCATAGCTTTTGCTTCAAATGAAATGTATTTGGTAGACTCAAATAAGTACCCCATCAATTCTGTATGCTTATTAACTCTGACTGGATAACTTACTCCTAGTACAGAGACAAGGGTAGCAAGCTGTAATGAAGATGTGTATACTTGAGAGAATTAATTTCAGACTATTGAGATGTTGGGGAAATTTTAATACCAATGGCATTCTGATTCATATTTGGATTTTTTTCCTGAGGTTTAAGAGCAGAGACTTATCTTGCTTATCTTAGCAAGATAGATTGCTGTTAGAGGGAAATAGCTTTATATTCAAGATAAACAGTTGTTAAGCAGACTTACCCGTCTCTTCATGAACTGCATAGTAATCCTGCTGGTGTGTTCAGTGGATGAGCTGTTATTTTCTGTCATCTAATCATTAGCTCCTTGTACATTTCTGTGCATCTGGAAATCAAATGCCTTTTCTGTCTAGAGTAATGTCAGCTTTCTTATACTGTACACGTGAAACAGATTTTCTAAATTATATTGTGAGGAAAAGCTCACTTTTTAACAAGTATCATCAAAACAAAAAAAGTCGTGAAAATGTTACATATTCTCATAATTGTGTGCTGTAGAACATCATCTAAATATAAATGTGTCTTAGAAGGATGAAATAATATAGGAACAGATGATAGCAAAATGTTAACAAGCTGGGTGGAGGAGCAATGAGTGTTAAGTATTTTCTGAGTTACTCACTTTGTTGCTTTATATGCAAGATTTTTACATTTCTAACTGTTTCTGTAGTTGGAGACCTGACAGTGTATCTCTTGACAATGCACCAAGTAGCAGAGCTGGATTTCCACAGTCTGATTATGGTAAGGGGCACTGCTGGATGCAGTGGGAAGAGCAGGGAAAGTTACCTTTCCCTAAGCATAAGAGCAGCGCTGAGAAAACCTAATGGATTTTGATCCCAAGTTACTTTTCCTTTGCTGGAAAGTACAGCTGTGCAACAACTTTTAGAATCTCTTTCTAGGTTTAATCTTTCATTTTAGCTGTTAGTAAAAGTGCGTAAAGTTGAGGCCTTCAAAGTGTAGAGCTGTAATTTATGATCTTCAATGAAATGAAACTAAAATACCAGGGGAGCCTTTACTGCATTTTAGGCAATGTGGAACATCTTACACCTTTTGATACAGGCTGACATTTTATGGTTGTACTATAAACTTCTTACCAGAAGATAAAACTTTGCTTACTTGGTTTTTAAAGACGTGCTAGACATAATGGCACATCTTAATATGAGCTTTCACCACTGATCCATAGCATACAGTATTTGGGTATATGGAAAAGTAAGTAGCACTTGGGCAGACGTGGGAACTAGGCTGCTGTGACAGTTTGCTGCATCAGCTTTTGGAGCACAGCTTCTGGCAGGTACTCTGTTTATCATTTTGACCTAGAGCTATTCCAGGTGCTCTTGTGCTACATGAAGTTAATGCTCCCTTGCTTCTCCCCTGCCTCTAATGTTCCTCACGTGCTGCATTCTCAGCATGTCTTATGCAGGGGAGCAGGAGAGGAGTTTGCAGTTTGTCTCTACTTTCCTCTGCTTTTCAGGCATCTTCTGCTACTTCTGGATACCACAAACTAAGTCCTTAGTAGCATGTAGATGTCTGACTCCATTGCATAATATTCCTCTGAGGAGATTCAACTATTCCCCTCCTCCCTCTGTGCACCCAGCGCTGTCTGGCACAAATCCATTTTGTGATGCTTGTAAACCAGAGCAGTGCTTTTACTAAGATTTGAAAGCCTACTTGCTTAAAACTGAAACATCTTAAAATTGCCAGTGTTGTAACCTTGTGATCCAGAGTAAATATATTTTGTGTCTTTTCAAGGAGGATTAACTAAAAGGAAATATTTAGGCAGCTTATGAGTAGGGTGTTGAGAGAATTGACAAAAGTCAAATATGATCACTCAGTGATGCTGCAGTTTGCCAAGATGTAGAAAGCTGTGAGGGAAAGCTCGCTGTAGCTCTTCAGCCAGGGTTCCTTCAGGGACTCCTGTCCAGAAATTTCTCTTGTTTCTAGTGCCTGTTTTTGTGGTTTCAGGCTGTGTTACTTGGATTTCTCCTTGGATAAAGCTGACTGGAAAAAGTTTCATCTAGATTGCTTTTATATAAGAACTTCTTAGATTACTAAGAAAAATGTTTGGTAGATGCACATTTTTGAGCTTTATCTGTTTTGGAGACACTCAAGCTCTACAAGATGTAGTTGTGTTTTCTACTGAAAACAGAGTTGATATGCTGATTTTCTGCATTTTAGTAACTAAGTTCTGTCTCCAAATTACACATCCAGAATTTTCCAAAGAAAAATTTAACTTCTGTGGTAGAAGTGATGGGATTTTTTTTCTAGACAAAAAAAAAATAATTTCCTTGAAGTATGCAGTTCATCAGGAGAAGCTGAACCTGCCATGTTAGATGTTAAGAGTTCTTTATTACCTTTGAGAGGAGAAATCCTTTGATAAATCTTTTTATTTGTTGCGTATGGAAGCATGCTGAAAGAGGAAATGGGTCTGCTCTTATCCTAAAATAAATTCCTTTGTAAACCTATCATTACCTTAAAATTGCATCCTTTGAGATCCTGAACAGTTCTGTAATATGTGTGGAAGTATCAAGAGGTTCATTGCTTTTGAGATTGCTAGCTGAAGTTCAGTTGATAAGTTTGCATTGCTTTAGCTTTTTCCATTTGGATTCATCTTTCAGTGCCCAGTTTGGGAGAATTGCTATCTTACCTAATTACATCTCAGGCAGGTTTCTATCTTTTACATTTATACTAACAAATTGTACTTTTTCCTTCAGGATATTTAATGAGTAAAAGCAACAACAACAAAAAACCTTATTAGTACAGACATTAAGATTATTATGGACAGTTAAGAACAAATTTCCTGTACCTTTTGCGAAGATTATTTGAATATGCTATCTTAAATTTTCAGCTACTTTAACTTCCCATGTTTCCAAGTAAATTCAGTGGAGAAATGCTTAAAGATGCCAGATTTACAACTGTTAGCTGTCATGTCTTTAGCACACGGAAAAAGGTAAATAGACAGGGGAGATGCAGTTCATTGTAGACCTTTGGGTGTGAAAAGTTGAACTTCAGAGAAGGTTGAATGCCACTTTAACTTCTGTACCTTTTTAAGTCTTCTGTCTTGAATTGGCTCTATCTGGTTTCATAACTCTCCTTCTGCGTTCAAAAGAACAAAGGGTGTTTCAAAATGCAAGTGGACTTATTTGCCTTTAGATTAAGGAAAGGTTCTTTCATGAGATGAATTTTTGGTTTTGAAAATTCAGTTTCTCATTCTGCTTCTGAAAAGTTGGGAGTGTTGTGCTTTACTTACACAACTTGTGTTTCAAAAAAAAAAAAAAATAAACCTTCCACAAAATAGCATAGTGCGTTGGATATGCCTATTTGGGTAATACCAGTGAAAAATTTACTCCAGATCCTACTTTTCAGGTTATTTGGGTTGAAAAGATGTTCTAAATCAAAGTATCTTCTATTTTGCTCTCTGAACCACTAATCTGCCTCATCTCTGACAGGCTCTCACATCAGACAAGAGCCTTTCTTTTTGTTATTGTCTCTTACCTCATCCTAAGCTCTTACTGCTGCTTCCGGCTTCATATCTAACCTTTCACAGATTCCACTTGTTTCAGGCAAAGATAAGGATTGAGAGCAGCCCATTCTGATCAAAAGTCAGTTGACCCTAATCTTACAAAAAAGTGCTTGTGAAAGACTGAATAAACTAACCTGTTGGTTTTTTTCTTTTTTCTTTTTTTTTCTTTTTTCTTTTTTTTTCTTTTTTTCTTTCTTAATTTAATGGCTGTCCTTAAAAATATTTATTACTACTTGGGAGGGGGGAATACTATCCAAAATACTACAATGTAATAGCTGTTAGTTAAACTGGTAAAACCTGAAAATCAGAACTGAAATGCAATTTTGAGGATGAAGTATTCTCGATTTTTCAGGATGCTTGCCAATCTTACACTTTTGAGCTGCTTATAGTAGCTCTCTTGATAAATTAATTTTGTGAATGTCCAAATTTAATTGCAATGACCTTATGTAAGTGTCCATATTATATTAACCCAAATCAGGCATGATTTTCTGTTAGCCAAAAGTGCAGTAGTATTTGAGGAAAAAATATCCTGCTATGTTTTGTCTGTGTATGTATACACACACACATATGTTAATATATATAGAGTAAACATCCAGATGACTATGTTTAACAAGTAAGAATTTTCAGCATTTGTGAAAGGAAAACATGTGGTTGCTGTGGACATTAATGTATAAGCCCTTTAGTTTGAATAATGGATTAAAATGTAGAAAACATAAGTTAATTTTCAGATACTCCTTCTCTAAGCTTCTTCTGTTATATTCAGTTTGAAAGTCATCTGAGAGGTAGATTGAAAATACTTTTGACTTCGTGGCAGCAGCAAGTATAATTGTGGTTCATGAAACTTCTGGCTGAAGCTAGAAGAAATCAAGATGCTATGGTCTACAACAATGGCAGTTTGTTTTTGTGAGATGCCAGCAAAGACATCTGGGGGAGCTGACAGACATTTTATTTCAAAGTTACAGCGTGCAACCTGAAACAGGCCACATACTATAAAAAAACCTCACAGCTGAATAGTAGCCAGTAGAAAGCAAAAATAAGAGTGTGAGTTAACTTCTTAGAGTAACCATCATACAGT